TCATACCATGGAAACATATAACACCTGATGAGAATTATTAAGAACTGTATGCATATTCTTAGATTATAGCATATGACGTTTCTATTTTCAAATGTATTTGGTGTCTGGATGGTGTTAAAGTACTTTTGGAGCTAGACTGCAGGCATTACTTAAGACTTGGTTCATGCTTAGCTTGCGTATATCGAGTTATGGATGCACGCGGAAAGTTTGGAGGGCACGAAAGAAGTGTAAGAGTTGCTCGAGGCGCAGTCGAGAGTAACTCTAGCTCCTCGAGTGCTCTCCAAACTTCGCAAGTGCATCCATAACTAGATATACGCACAGCTTAAAGCATGAAACAGTTCTTTTATAACATAGCGACAACAACTTGAGGGCTACAACATGTTTATTTGTGATTGACTACAAAGTTCTCACAATGCACGGCGAAGGAAAACAAAGGATCCTATTGACTGGTTAAAAACACGCCACACGGATGAACGATACGCTTCATCTGGTTTCTAAAACTGTCAATGAAAAATTCGCTTCTTCGAATTATATGTAATGAAAATCTAAGTAAGCAAGTCAAATATACTCGATTTAAATGTAGACAAACAAAGTCAAAGTACTCAAGTTTTAGTAAACATCTTAGCTTGGCGAAAGTCAAAGGAAGTAGGGTTTGCATCAGTTTCCGAATGATTAAACTCCACGGAAATTTTGCAGCTAAAATGAAACTACACACGTCATGTTATATACGCACGGCCAGAGATTTCTACCATGATGGCTCAATAGGAGTTAGCTAGGACCAGCGCGCGCGCTATGTTATAAAGCCCGACGCACATAACTTGTATTTATTAATTTTCATCTCTCAAAGTTATATTCTTTTCAAAATCCCAGCCTCGTGTTTATTCCTAAAGTATTCTTAAAATTTCGCAAATTTCAGCCTCGATATCTTAGAAAACAGATTCTTTTAAAAAAAAAGAGGTACCTATTTAGCCCATATATTCTATATCCTATGATTTTCCGTGTTCAATAATTTGAGCAATCATTGGTTACGATTATAGAGAGGCTGACCCAAGATGAAGCAGATTTTTCTAAGTCATTCCTGTGATTTTTATTTACACGACTGTTTTAACCTGCTGTTTTATCTCCCTATGTTGCATCAACAGTGTAAACCGTACCACGTGTCAAATAAAGCGCTTATTATTGGTGACGCAGCCCATGCCATGGTCCCATTCTTTGCACAAGGAATGAACAGCGTTGGTACCTTTTTTTTGTAGTCTTGCATTATAGTAATAGGGAAATTAAGAAACCAGGACGCGACGCCCAGGACAACGTGGATTAAAAAAATGATTTTACATTTTACCTACGAACTCGCAATACTCTAAAGTCATTTTCCTATGTTTCATAGTGTCAAAACTATCACGAAACTGAATCTGGGACGTGGCAAAACATTTAAAACAAAAAAAGAAAAATTAGCCGTCAAGGTTCACGTTCTCCAGACAACGCAGAATTTGGTCATTTCACGGAAAACGAGAACTCTGGGAGCGACCATTTTGAAATAACCGAATTCTGCCCGTCGGTTTCACTGTGCAGTCTGCATCTATGGCGCATGCCTGAAATGGTTGCTCCCAGAGCAACACAGCGGTCAAACGTCGGGCATGCGCAAATTGGTACATTTTTTGGCAGCCACGCGCCAATTTCCCGCGCAAAAATTT